AGTCATGAGTCAATATTGACAACGTACTTACTACGAACAATGACTATTCAGAAACCATAAGTACGTATTATTACGTCGGCACGTTGCACAATTTTTCATCACACTTTGACTAAGCATTTTTATAACAATGATATCGACATTCAAAGCTACCCTTACATTTAACCCTACAGGAGATCATCAACATGCCGTTGGGGCAGATTTATCTAAATTTAATATGAAAAGAATTTAATATGAAAAGATGAAACCAAACGTAAAAATCTTTTTATTGTTGAGTTCTAGATCTCCTGTAGAATTTCCCTCCGATGATCTGTGGAACCTCTGGTATGGGCGAGGCTTCCTCTAAGTAGTTCGTGGCTTCCGTGACCTCGACCTGTTGTTCTTGCTGTTCTCCTACGTCTTCTTCTTGACTTCCAAACTTCCTGTTCAGCTCATAGAACCTTGGGGATTCTTGACAGTCGATAGCTTCGTCGGCTCTAGTACAAGTGAACATTTCCTGCGGAGAAAAGTTGCGTTATATGCGAAAGATTGGGAAATCTCGAAACTCGAGATACTACAGAACAATATATACTAAGTGATATATAAATCCGAACACCCAGTTTAAATGGTTTTATTTTAATAAAATTTTGTATAAGTACTTAATGAAGCATAATAGGTAAATGATAAAAACTTCAAAATGACTGCACTGCTTTAAAGCCCTTTGACCTTTAATAACGTGTGGATGCACCCTGATGTGCTACGCATTCTCCAACGCGCCTAGGCATGCTTCTGATCAGGTGGTCAATGTCCTCCTGTGGTATCTCATTCCAGGCAACCACCAACTCCTCTCGAAGTGCTTCTAGAGTCTGAGGAGGACGTTGCAAATTGAGCAATCTCCTACCCATCATATCCCACACGTGCTCAATTGGAGATAAGTCGGGAGATCTTGGTGGCCATGGTAACAATGTGACACCATTATGTTGAAAGAAGTCTATTGTGACTTTTGCAACATGTGGTCGGGCATTATCTTGTTGGAAAGTTGGATCTACCAGGGTGTCAAGATAGGGTAAAAGATGGGGTTCTGGAACTTCGTGGATATAACGCTGCACGTTCATGTTACCTCTGATGAAGATTAAAGGTGACCTGGAATCATAGCACCCCAAACCATAACTCCAACAGTGTGATGAACATGTCTTTCAACAAAAAACTGTGGACTCCTCCTTTCACCACGTCGCCTTCTAACCCTGGCACGACCATCGTGCATGCCTAAACAAAATCGAGACTCGTCACTAAAGACAATACTGTTCCATTCCTGATCCCAGAGTGACCGTTGTCTGCACCACTCAAGGCGATTACGTCGGTGTTCTCGAGTTAAAGGGAGGACCCAGTGTGGCCGGTATGAAAACAAGCCAAAAATTCTCATTCGTCGGTAAACACTTCGCATGCCAATAGGTCTTCCGTGTCCTGCAAGCCACTCATTTGCAATGGACCTGGTAGTAGAGAAACGGTCCCTTAAGGCCAATAATCTTAGGCGGCGATCTTCACGGTCTGTTGTTCTACGGCGGCGTCCAGTGCCCCTTGCTCATTGCGTACGGCCTTCTCGAAGCCATGCCTGACAACACCTAACCACAGTGTCTACACTCTAACTGCGATTGCTCGAAAAGAAAGTCCAGCTTCCCGAAGTCCCACTATACGGCCCCTATCAAACTCACTAAGTTGACGAAATCGTACAGGTCTCCGTACTTTAGGCATCGTAACCGATCGTAAAGGATGTCAAGAACCAAAATCCGCCAACGTTGATTCTTTACTGCGGCTGAAATATTCATTTTTAGAGCGTTAGTGAATTAAAAAAAACCAGTATAAAAACCGGAATGTCCAACTGATAAGGCTGAAAATTTTTTCACTTGTTATTTACAGTAAGATAAATACATTCACTAACTTTTATTAAAATAAAACCATTTAAACTGGGTGTTCGGATTTATATGTCACTTAGTATAATTTATGAGCAGGAATAATTGGATACTATTTAATAGTACTAGTTGAGTTACTACCTAGACTAAATGGCCAAACGTATTTACAATTTCTTGAAGAACAATTACCTACTCTGCTGGAAGGTCATCCATTACAAACACACATGAATATGTGGTTTATGCACTACGGCGCTCCACCTCATTTTAGTAACAAGTTAGCGAGCACCTATATAGAGTTTATCTAGACCAGTGGATAGGCCAATCAGGACCAGTATCGTGGCCGGCAAGATCACCAGATTTAAATCCTACAGATTTCTTCTTCTGAGGCGATTTAAAACGACGCGTTTACAATACGCCAGTGGAAACTGTAGATGAACTTCGACAAAGAATTATCCACGACAGCCAGGAAATGAAAAATAACATCAAAATGCCTTGAAGAGTGCAGCAAGGATTAGATAGTCGAGCTCGAGAGTTTGTTAGGCAAGGTGGTGCTCACTTTGAACAATTTTGTAGCTTTATTTCCGTTTATCAGTTTTGTTGCCATTTTTTGTTATTGTTAAAAACCCTAGCAACTCTACTCAGATAATATCCAAAGCAACTTGATTATTATGTTATAAAAATGTTTTAACCTTTCGCATGTATAAATAGTGACTGCAGAGAGAGAGCTAAGACAGTAGCTTTACTTCCTACACCATATGGAAAGAGCAAATAATGGTCGCCGTATGCACATGCGTCACTCAAAGCGTTTAAAAGGCGAAGAGTGATATCTGCACTGATCTGGGAATGCCTTCAAGAACTGAACACTAGGGTGAAAGTTCTATTTTTCAAACGCATACAGTCTAATTTTGATTGAACAATGTCAAAACAATTGTAAATAAAATTTTATGCACCAGAATTACCCGTGCCGAGTTGCGTTGGATCATGTCAAAATTCGCATATTTATTATTTGAGTTGTTAGAGTCAAATGGAAAAAAATTAGACGATATGCTTATCGAACAAAAATTGGCTGGGACACCCTGACGAGCATTGGTAACTTACCTGATTGAAGACAGTCTCCTCCGGACATATGAAGCTCCACCGGAAGGTCTGGTTACGTCCGTCCGCGTACGTGACTGGCAGACACACGTGGAACAGTTGACAGTCATTGTCCACATCCGCGTAGTATCCGTAGTCTCGACCTTCGCACTGGAACGAGTCCGTGATGTCGTTCCTGATGGCGGTCGCATTGCTCGGCAGCGTGAGCAGTTGCGGTAGAGGCAGGTTGTCGGGTATTACCTGGGAGAAAATTGGCATTACAGTAGAACCTTGATTATCAGAAACAATAATTTCTCCGTTTTATCCGAAGTTGTTCGGGAAATCGGCGCATGATCCGAAATAGCCGCCGGTGGTTCCCGTTTCTGCGTTTGCGTCGTTAGATTCGCTGCCGGTGATTCCGCAAGCGCGTTTGCGGAATGCACTGGTATGCGTGCGTGTATGTTTGTTTCAGGCAGGTTCATATACGCTAAGAAGGAGCAGCATAAAGCATCCCACAAACCGGCGCGAAATAATCGCGGCGAAGTATTCGCAACGAAATTCAGAGCGAAATTCGCAATCTGTTTCGCCTGTTTATTCATACCAAAGCGTCTTATTCGCTCCGCGAACGTGAAGGTTTCGACAGGTTGCGTACATTTTATTTTTGCCTTTTGCAATCAGCTCGTCTTCAGAAGAAGAGGAGGCACTTCTATTTCTTGCTTTAGAAGAGGAACAAAATGCACGGTAAGTTATGTTTATTTAACGCCATTTGATAGTTGGGTATGTATTAAGTTTAACGAAGTACATAAAAAAAATATTTTCAATTTTGTTTAGGAAACGAAGGAAGTGGGTACATGATATTAACTTGGAACGAAATAAATTTGGGGAATACCATACCTTGATGCCACAACTTCGGCTGGATGAACAGCGCTTTTACGTATATTTTAGAATGACTCCAGAGTGTTTCGATGAAATATTGAACTTGGTGAAAGATGAAATACGAAAATCTGACACAAATTATCGTGAAGCTATTTCGCCAGAAGAACGACTTGCTATTACACTCAGGTAAAAAAATTATATGTATTAAAATTAGTAGGCTTATCGAATACGAAAACTTCAGGGATCGTGAAATAAATATTTTATTGTAATAATTGGACTACATGTTGCCACTAGGATTAAATGTTGCTAAATAATTCGAGGCAGAATTTGCCTCCTCTGTTGGGTATATTATTGGAGTAAACCCAGTGCCGCTTGGGAAGGACGACATACTACTATCATACATACTTGCAGAATTCTGGGTAGACGCTGAAGACATTTCTTCAATATGTTCAAATTCTTCGTGCGCTATTAATTCGGCTATTTTTAGTTTTATTCGGGCTTGACGCTTTAAGGGAAGTGTTTTCACAGTCTGTGCATGTGCCAAGAAAAGTGAATCAATGGCCTCGTTCTCTTTTTTAGGTTTTTTACCTTCAAAATAATTAATGAGCTGTTGTACAGACGAAGATGGTGGTTCATAGCGTTTTCTGCTCGTTTTATATTTTGGTGTAGATGCAGTCTGCTGAAAGGTGTGCCCTGGAGTAGTCACTGCTGTAGTGTTCAATGAAGAAGGTGGTGCTGTCTGTGTTGCCGAGGCGTTCTGTGCATCTTCTGCATCTACATCAGCATTTTCATCTTCTCCATGGCCGCGGTCTTCCAAATTTTCGGTTTCTACATTTCCAGCCCTTTCCTGATATATATTTCAGTTAAATTCGGCAGTCTCATAATATATGACGTCAATATCTTTCACATTAGACGACGTTTTGGCAAATGCCAAAAAAGGACGGAAAAATTCCATGTAGTCAGCCCACTGCCATTTTTTTATGTTGCCCACTGCTTGGCCGGTCTTTGGTTTGGTAGATTTTATATATTTTGCAAATGTGTCTCTGATATTCTTCCACCTTTTTTTTACTTCATCACCTCTATACCATTGGGCATAGCTTTCGAGTTGGCTTTACAACAGTGAGTGCAATCGTAACCGAAGTCTGTGAAGCGATATGCAGACATATGGAGCATATATATTTACCAGAACCAACAGAGAATATATGGAAAAAATGGGCTGAAGAATTTGAAAATAGATGGGGATTTCCCAATTGCATTGGCAGCGTGGACGGTAAACATGTAACAATCAAGAGACCTAACAACGGTGGCTCCAATTACTGGTGCTATTTACATAAATATTCAATAGTACTTATGGCCATTGTTGGCCCGGACTATAAATTTATATGTGTTGATATTGGTGGTTTCGGAAAAAATAGTGATGGGGGTATTTTCGAAACCTCAAACATGGGAAATCGATTTGAAGAAAATTTAATGAGTGTCCCTGCACCTAGATTTCTCCCTGGGCAAAATGAAATCTGCTCGTACGTCTTAATTGGTGATGAAGCATTTGCTTTAAAACCATACCTTATGAGACCATTTCCTTATAAGCAGACTTTAACAGACGTCAGAAAAGAGAAATACAATGTAAGACTTTGTCGAGCTAGAAGGGTCGTGGAAAATGCGTATGGTATTTTGTCTCAAAAATGGCGAATATTTTACAGGCCATTAGAAACTAAAGTAGATACTACTATTCTAATTGTACGTACGGCATGTGTTTTACACAATTTTTTACGAAGTAAAAGTGGCGATGACAAATATTTTCAATTCTTAGATCCTCCAGAACCCGTGCTTGGAGCTTTTACTGATATAGCAAATGATCCTCGGCGGGCAGCAAGGGTAGCATTTTCTACTCGTGACAAATTTGTAAATTATTTTAATTCTGATATGCCTATGCCCAATATATAGAATGTTCGTTTTCACGTTTGTGTAGACTGTAAATTATTTAACAAGTTAATAAAAAATATTAGGTACATACCATTTGTATTTAATTCTTTTCCTATTTCCATCCAAATCGTGTCTTTCTTTCTCACATTCCTGTATTCATCGTTCGACAAATCATACAAAGAAGGATACTTTTTCACTATTTCTATCAATAATTCCGTTTTGCCATTGCGAATTTTTGAAGAACGGCGTCAAAAACGCGGTCAAAGGCGAACTGAAATACGCCGCCATAAAAACGCTGGAACAATCGCATTCGCTTCGCACAAGTCTGAGCCTGTCCGTAAACCGCCGCGTTTTAATCTGATCGCGAATTCATCGCCGCGAAATTTTCGCAGCCAAAGCGAATATTTCGCGCCGGTTTGTGGGATGCTTTGACCGGTGAAATGTATTTGGAATTACTGGAAGACGCCATAGATCCTGCATTAACAGCCATAATTGAAAATCAGAATGATCAGCGGTACATTGCGAATAGGTTAAGTGTAAGAGTAGCCAGACTGATGTATGTGTATTAATAAAGACATTTATTATTATTATTATTATTGAGGCACCTGATAACTTTACACCAGTGATGGTTGGCTGCATAAATGGAAAAAACGAAACGGTATACGAGAATTAAAATTTTGCGCAGAAAAGTTATATGCCTGTGAGTCCGCTGCATTAATATTTGGAGAACATTTTAAAGAATTAATGAAGCAGTATGGTTTAAGTCCAGAAAAAATTTAAAACTGCGATGAAACGAGCCTAAACTATAAAATGTTACCGGCGAAAAGTTTAGCTTCAAAACAAGAATCTGGAGCTCCTGGTTACAAACGCAGTAAAGGACGTGTGACTATCTTTGCTTGTAGCAATGCTTCCGGTACACAAACTTCCTTTGTCGTTAATCGGAAAATCAGCTAAACACGTCCGTCCAAACGCTCTTCCAGTGTGGTATAAAAATCGAAAAAACGCCTGGATGGATGCCGCTCTATTTAAGAACTGGTTTTACAATCATTTTGTTCCCAAGACGGAACAATATTTGAACAAACGCGGATATCCTATAAAATATATTTTGCTATTAGACAATGCTCCGAGTCAGCCAAGTGAAGTGCAACTTAATAGTGGAGAAATACGAGTGATGTTTTTGCCTCCTAATGTAACGTCACTGATTCAGCCAATGTATCAAGGAGTTTTAGAAAATTTTAAACGCAATTAAAGACGTTTGTTATTAGAGCAAACTTTAGATCAAGTTGGTAATGAATGTGGCATATTGGATAGCAGAAGCTTGGAACCAGGTAAAAAATTCAAGTTTACAAAAATCTTGGTCAACATATTTACACGTGTGGTCTTCAAAGCATCCTATTCAAATTCCGCGAGCAGCAAAACATTCGTTTTAGATGATGCAATTAGATCAAACTGTATGTACGGTGGTGAAGAATACAAATGAGCAATGGAGAGCAACTGGTCGTGGAGCAGATTTACATAAAACGCCTTTTTTACAACAGGAGATCGAATCAACGAAGAACTGACAAAAGCCAAAATCGCTATGATTTTGAGATAAAACACGCAAGTACTCTTTTACTTAAAATACGTCGTTAGATGGTACATAGGTCAGTAAATACTCAACTATTTTATATGCACGCATTTTTTGATGAGCTTTTTTCTGTTTTTAACCATTATACTCCCACCCGCTCGCCAAATTATCTCCTTATAACCACATTCTTCGAATCTGGTTCAGCTGTCTTCGTTCCATTTTCGGAACCTACATCCCTTCTTATTGAGGTCACATTTCACATAACACGCATTTAACTTTGTGGTTCCAACAGGATGGGGCCCCACCACATTACGCATTACGTGTTCGACAATATTTAGATCAGACGTTTCCAGATCGATGGATTGGTAGAAGAGGTGCCATTGAATGGCCCCCAAGATCGCCAGATTTATCACCTTTGGATTTCTTTATGTGGGATCATTCAAAAAGCAAAATCTATGCTACCCAGCCAACATCATTAGAAGACCTGCGACAAAGAATTGGGAATGAGTGCCTTCAAGTTACTCCTCAAATATTGCAAAATGTGCGGCAACGTTTTGAGCAAAATCTTTATTATTGCATGGAGAGTCACGGTGGCCATTTTCAACATTTACTTGCCTAACGGGTCAGTTCATTCTTCATGTTTAAATTAATTTGCTGCCAAATGTATTCCATGATCTCCACTAATGATGATGTATTAGTTTTATTTAAGATTTAAATGAATAAATCTTCAAAACTACTGAACATACACTAATTATATATCACTATAAAGGGAATTGAAAGACATTTGAAATAAGGTATCACTCGACCCCCCCTTTTCATTTAAGATTTGGTGGTGTCACCCCCGCTTAGGGGGCTGCACGTGCTAACGTGATTTTTTGCCAAACTTGTGTCACCCTCGAAAACAAAATGGACGGGTCTGAGCGTTTTTCAAAAAAAAACCTGCCAGTAAATGCGTCTGTTTCGTTTTCGATGCGCCACCCTATATATGTTTTTTACATTCTAAATGACTACCAGCGTCCCAGCTGGGATCATGACCTCTATCTTGACCTCATTGTCTCCTGCTGTTCGTCCTCGCGATGAGAAATAATCCTCATCGATCTGGCGCGCTCTTTTCCCTTCTCTGGCATCAATAAATAATCTTCAGTAGTTCTTGATTACCGCTTAATCGACCGACCCTGCGTGAAGATATCTCCATCTTTTACTCCAAGATGCGGTTCCAACTCTCCTCCCTTATGCTCTTTCCGTCCATTATTATAAGCTTTTCTCCATTACTCTACTAATTTTCTTGTTTTACGAGGTATGTAAATTAAGTAATGAGACTGGCAACGTAGCGTTCGATCTGGCATCACTTGAGGTGCCGGGCATGGAGGGAGGACAGGGGAACGTGTGATCCACCTTCAGTACAAGCTTCAACTCGCTCGAGTCATTTGATTGTCTGTAGCGTTTTTTTTTTGTAGAACAGTTTTTTCTGTTGTGCTCTATAAACGAGTGACATCAATTTTGAGCAACTGTTTAACTTCAGACTTTCTTATTGTATTTGAATAAAAAAATCAGTCTTATCAATTAATTCACAGATCTTGTACGTACGGCATTATACAGGGTGTTCCATAATTATTGCGACAAAATGATAGGGGTTGTAGAGGGCATCAAAATGAACAATTTTGCCTTATAAACCCCTGTTCGGAAATATGCCGTTTGGGCTGCAGCAAAAAAAACATCAGTTTCTTGAAACGGCTTACCTACAGTAATTGCTCAAAGTGTCCTCCACCTAGTTCAATACACAGCTGTGCACGATTGTTCAATGATCGGCGAACTCTGTGGCATACCCCCGGTATGTCCTGAATATGTGCGGACGCGGCCATCACTCTTCCCAGTAGCTCTTGTTGGTTGGGAACAGGAGTTTCGTATACTAAAGCTTTCAGATGGCCCCAGAACAAAGCAATCCAGTGGGGTCAGGTCGGGTGACCGCGCAGGCCAAGGCACAGGGCCACCTCGGCCTATCCACCTATTTGGAAATTTGTCGTCCAAATACTGCCGCACTTGTAAAGAAAAGTGGGCTGGAGCGCCATCGTGTTGAAACCACATGTTGGCTCTTATGTTCATTGGCACATTTTCTAATAGTTCCGGTAGCACATGCTGTAAGAATCGACCATAAGCATGCCCATCCAAACGTGGTGGAAGCAAATATGGCCCGATGATATGCTCGTCCACAATGCCCCACCAGATGTTAATTGAAAACTGATGTTGGTCTCTATGGATGGCTATGGCTTGAGGGTTTTCTTCATCCCAAATGTGACTGTTACGGCTATTAAAATAACCGTCCTTTGTAAAACAGGACTCGTCAGTGAACAAAACGTAACGACCAAAGTTTGGTTGCCTCAACTTCTGCTGCAGCCACCAACGACAAAAACGTCGACGCGGCAGATAATCTTCTGGACCCATGGCTTGGATTTTTAAAAGGTGGTTTGGGTGTAGTTGCTGGTCATGGACAACCCGCCAAACAGTAGTTTGAGACGCTGCCATATCATGTGCAATAGCACGCACGCTTGTACGCGGATTGGCCTCCACATGGTGCATAATCGTTTCCTCAAATTCTGCTGTGCGCTTCGTGAAGGGCCGCTCTGCTCCCGCGAGGTGTCTGATGCTGCCACTGACACAAACACGTCAATGAATCCTTGCAAAAATGGCGTGATGCGGATGAGGACGTTCTGGAAAGCGTTGGGCGTAGATTCGCGAGGCTCGTCTCTCTTAAGGTAAAATTAGCGGTAGTGCTCAAACGGCATATTTACGAACAGGGGTTTATAAGGCAAAATTGCATATTTTTATGCCCTCTACAACCCCTATCATTTTGTCGCAATATTTATGGAACACCCTGTATACTAAGTGACATATAAATCCGAACACCCAGTTTAAATGGTTTTATTTTAATAAAAGTTGGTGAATGTATTTATCTTACTGTAAATAACAAGTGAAAAAATTGTCAGCCTTATCAGTTGGACATTCCGGTTTTTATACTGCTATTTTTTAATTCACTAACGCTCTAAAAATGAATATTTCAGCCACAGTAAAGGATCAACGTTGGCGGATTTTGGTTCTTGACATCCTTTACGATCGGTTACGATGCCTAGAGTAT